GTTACAATTTTGGCCTGACCTGTCCAGATATTTGTTACAACCCCTCTAGTATGAGTACTATTTAATAGCAATCCAAGTAACAGACAGTAAAAACAAAACTATGAATCTCATGGTGAAAACAAAGGGAAAGTCAGGTATGACCAATATGATTCATCCTGTGGCAACCATAAATGTCTGTCCACATTTTTATGCCATTCCAATTAGTAGATGCTGAGGTATCCTGATGCCACTAACATGGCAAATAGCTTTAGAGAGGAAGAGATACCAGGTTCTCGGTAACAGCTTCATATGTAGGAACAGGACAAAAGGGTTGTACTTAACTGGAAAAACTGGCTGAAACCAGTGCTTCTGGTCTCTGAAAGCTCACAGCCCCGTGATTTCTTACACCATAAGAGTATCTTGGATGTTTTTTTTTAGAAAATCCATGAGTCATGCAACCCCACAAATTGTAAATAAGTCAGGTTAGTCTTCCATTGGTCTAATGAGTTGGAGCCTCTTTGGGCTAACTGGCTAACTGGGTGTTGTTTTCCTCAGAATAGATTAGCTGACTAAGCCTCCATGTGACTGTGCAGTGGTGGTGAAATTGGATTTCAGCCCATTGCTGGGTGATTGTGCACTTGAGAAGAAATTTGCAAATACCTTTCACTTGCAGGCAGCTTATGTCTTCTTCTTAAAAAGATCAGCTCTAGGATTACATACAAAACAAACACCTGCATGTGACTGTCGCTGTAGCACTGCTTGGTGCAAATTTGAAAAAAGTATATATTTTTGTTTTAAATGTGTGAATATGAGGGACTGAGTCAAGTATGTGTAAGTGTTTACTGCTCATGAGTTTAGGAAACGTGCCTTTCAATACCATGTAGCAAAACCTGCACCTATCAACTGAGTACACACTTCTGAAAAGACAGCACTCAGGGTGAGAATGGACACATATTCATGGCTGCCTGCTCCTGTTCGTTTGTGTCCGTGTTTGCTCTACATGGCTTGTTCGCTCTGTGCGTCAGCTCCAGGTCTACTCCGTTCTGGTTCAGATGCCAGCGCCGCCTCACGCAAGACCACCATGTGATCTTCAGCTGCGTGGAGAGACTGCTCGATCCAATCCATGCTGCCGGACATGTGACAGGCATTGCGGGTGACCAGCACCAGGTGGCTGACCGAAAGAAGCAGAGCAGTGGCCCTGGGGAGGAAACATTGGACAAAAATCTAACTTGGTTTTTGCTGCTGGTCGATGAAAAATGTTTCAAAAAAAGACAGCTTTTAAAATATGACAGCCTTTTAAAGTCCAGCAGGCATGGAAATAACACGGCACATGAAGAATTGCTTTAGATTTCAATTCGAGTAAATGCTGGTAAACACCAATTTCTAAGCAACAACATTTTCCAGTTTGCATCAATTTGCTGTGACACTTGTATTCCAGTTTCTCTCATATCTCTTTATCTCTCAAAGATGATAAAATTATGGATAAATCTAATCATGCGGTTGCTTCTGTCCAGCTCCTTCAGATGCCCTTGCAGTCAAGGGAGCAGTAGACCTTTGTATGAAGCTGTCAAACTTACGTAAAAGATTCTTATAAATGGCTGGAAAAATGGACACGGTTACCTGGCGTCCAGGAGGATTGGATCCAGCGGAGGGTACATGGATCTGACCACATCGTCCACCCTTTGAGAGGGAACAGGGAGGAAGCAGGTTAGCCCGAGTCAACAGCCTGGCGTTGCGAAGTTGCAGCGAATTGTTTGTGTTACCTCGGGCTTATGCGTTTGGCCACAGTGATAATGTCACTTAAGCTCGCTGGTGCTTTGACCTTTGCCCCTGAGCCCATCGTCATGGCAACCAACTTTTCAGTCAAAGTGTGACAGATCTGAAAATTGATGGAATTTTTTTCATATCAGTCAATCCAGTTCATGTTTATGGATACCTGATATTTTGTGATAGAAAATGTTGTATTTGCATCTTTCCTTCCCTGTATTTTTTTTATTTATTTCTTTACTAATGTTCACTACTTGTGTCTTTTAAGGTGAATATTAGCAGTTAAATATAAATTGAAAGAGTAAGTGGATGTATTCAGACCCTAACAATAAAGTAGGAGCAGCCTTTATGTTGCCTGAAAGGTAAAAATCTGCAAAACCTTTGCTGCTGCTGTTTAAGCTCATTACTTGCATGGTAACCGCTGAATGTAACTCTGCCTAGTGTATTAACATTTTTATCCACTCCAATTTTCTCTCACAACATTCAGAGTGACTTGAGTAAGAAAATCAACCTGAAACAATAAAAATGACAGGACTAAAACTTGGACTGTAAAAAGTAATGGGGACATATCCCCCTCTTTCCATGAGGAAATTATGCCCTTGCAGCCAATTACTGAAAAATAAACAAATTAGATTTAAATAGCAAGTAAGATCTTCCATTACCTTTAGGATAGAGATGCAGTGAGAGACCAAACCACTGTTGGAGAAATATTCACAGAATTAGCTTGGATTCATAGCACTAGAAAAACACAGTAGTAGCACTCACAGAAGTAACACTGAAAACTTTCAACCTATATGATGCCACAATGTCACCACATACGAGGCGTCTTCTATCCAGTCCTCATTCTCAAGGATAGCTTCAATGTGAGGGTTTGTAATGACCACATCATCTAACTCCAGCTCCGATGGCTCACTCTGGGTCTCCATGGCTCCAATCAGATCCACTGTAGGTCTATGGGCATGTCAGAGAAGACAGAAGGTGAGTGAAGATGTCTGATGTTCAATTTGTGGGGAAAACTTAAACCGTTATCTAAAAATTCTGAAAATGAACTTTGTAAAGGCCCATCAGCCTGTTCTCTTCAAACCTCCAAGTCCAAAAAACTACCTAAACACCAAGATTATGAATGTGCTACTTACTTTTTACATATAAAAAAATCAGTTTATAATTTGGTTACCACATCACCTCTGATATTATAGGAGTCTTTTGTAACCACAAAGACATACGAATCCAAAGCATGCATAGAGACGGGGAGAAACAGTGAAACTAAGGAGATAAACAAAATCCAAATGAAAAGTAAATCAGTAGAATGGATATTGTCCTTCTATCCCTGTTTTTAGAGTATGACAGAGTGCACAGTAACCTGTTGCACAGGTGAAAGATGAAATAAAGAAACTTTAAGTTACGACATTTCAGTCACTTTTAAGACCTTAAAGTCTGACCAAAGTACAAAGTGAAAACACCGTCTGACAGATTTAAAGTTTGTTTTGCTGATTTACTGACTTTGAGTCAAAGTGGTGCAGCAGGTTGTGGGGTTGGCAGTAGCGGTGTCTGCACACCACCACCAGGGCAATGAAAGAGGCCAGGAAAATGGTGGCCAACACCCCAATGGCCACAATCACCACCGTCTCCATGGCAACCCCAGCTCCCGCAGCCACTGCAGGCAGCGACTCCTCAAAAGGAAAAGAGGCCAATCAGGGTGGGCTGATTGTCCGAGCTCGATTATAGATGGGTGCTCATCTGTCAAGAAGAGAATAATTGGTGGTTTCCTTTTGTCTGGCTGCAACATCAAAGTAAAGAGAAGCACCATTATCAGCATACTTGAGGATAATTCTGCAAGAAATTTCTCTGATTTCTGTTTTTATTGAAAGTGTTCCTCTGGATCCAAAGAGAAGAGAATACAATCAGCAGTAGTTTGTTTCTAAATATGGGAAACCTACATCACACACACAAAACTGGTCTTTAAGTGCATCCATCCATTATACATGCCACTTATCCTGTAGAGGGTGGGGCATGGGGGTGGAGCCAACCCCAGCCAACAGTGGGCATGAGGCAGTGGACAGGTCACCGCTCACATTCACATCTGTGGGAGGAGGCCTGGAGTATGCAAAGCCCACATAGAAAGGCCCCAGTTGGCTGCAAGGTTCAAGCCTGAAACCTTCTTGCTCTGAGGTGGCAGTGCTAACCGCTGCACCACTGTGCCACCCCTATCTAAGGACATAAAGAACTGAAGTGCCTTGCTTTTTGTTTGCACTTCAGATCTCTCAACAAACATATTAATTCAATTCAACTTTAACACACAGTCACAAAGTCAGTAGCTAGGGGAAAAACTCTGATGCACTAACTTGCTTTGATTAGTGGCTCCAGCACTACATCTAAATCCACAGCTGAAACCTCAAGTAGGAGCAAAACTGAAGAATAAGACTCTTATGAACTTTGACCTCTTACTGTACCATCTGGTGTTTGTGTTTCTGGATTATCTGCAGTTTAATGTAGGTGGCATGTTCTCATGTTTAGCTCCTTTCTGAAAGGTAAAGTAGAGCTGCCCTGTGCCCAGTCTAGTCAGTCATTAACCTGTCCTGCCCCACCTGATTGCTTGTGTGTATGTGTGCTAACACTCTGGAGGGAAGCTGTTATTGGACTCATTTGTAATGAAATCACTAAACATTTTAAGCAGATATCCATTTTTGTATGCTGTTAGAACCACAAATTACCACAGGGCTGCTGAATCTTCACCACTGTAAAGCCACTCTGTTCCCTGAATGATTATATGTGATTCGGCCATGGAATGTTGTAATCCTTTAATCAGATTAATTTGTTTTACACTGGCTGTATCATGCAGAGCTTTTCTGACTCCTTCTCACAAGCCAGCGTTTTCTTAAAGCTTAGGAACCCTGTGCTAAATGGAAACACATGCAAACAAACTGAAGTGTTTTAGGGTACAGGAAAACTCCACAAGAGCTATTGCATCAGTGATGGCGGTCCTGTAACATTACAACATTATAAAATAGGCTATTACTGTGCATAACAGATATTTTAGGTCACGTCTGCTGGTAATGCTTGTGTACTTTTACTAAACAACTGAGTGCAGGCCTTTTACTTGTAACATAAACTTTCTATACTGTGGTGTTACTACTTAAGTAAATGACCTGAATACCTCTTCCTATACTGCAAATAGCACTATCTAAACAACAATCTAAAACAACACACAAGTCGATGAGGCCACAGCAAAGCATAAAAGAATCAAAACCAGTATATAAATAAATAAACACCACCGCCATTATTACACGGGTATAATTGTTTAAGATGTCCACATCACAAAAGTTCCTCAAAAGGAGGTCTGGAAAAGTCGTTATGCTTTAATGACTGTGCAATACAGATGATTCATATTATCCTATACATTAGGTTTTTCCATAGATAATAGATCAACTAAAACGCTCGGTCCCGTGCTCACAGTAGCTAATAAACGCACAGAAATAAGAGCAGACCCTAAGTGTAGACACATTTCGGTGTATTTCACAAACAGGCTGCACGCAATTCACAATATAAGTCATTCTACTGTAGCCTTTAAAAAACACTTCTAAAGTTGTGCTTCAAACCAAGAAAACTTTTGACTTGATAGAAACAAACAGCCAATTCAATTCCAGGCACTTACCTAAACATTTTGTCCTTTCAGGTGGATTTCTTTTACAAGTCAAAAACTCTAGATGCTCGGCCACCAGGAGCGCGGAGACGGCAACGACATCTCCAAACCTGAGGCGCCGTGAACGCGCACACAAGCAGTCCACGTGAACGGCTGGGCTGAGGTGATTGACTGATGAAGACCAAACTTTTTCTTTCTTTTCCGCTTAACTTTCCAGCGGCGCGCTTTGTCCGCGCGTGGGTGATAGACTCGGCCACGCGCACCTCAGCGTCTTGAGGTCTGCGTGAACCGCGCTCTTGCTGCCATGATTGAAAAGCAGTTGGGAAAATATCAGTTTCACTTGTTACAATGTTACCAACACGTGTCAGTACAGTCAACGCTAGGGGGCGTACGACAATAGTTGTACGGTTAGCTGTACACAGTGGTAGTACCATGTTTAGGTACTGTATATGTACCTGAGTATTTTCATTTTGTGCTACTTCATACTTTGACTTCACTACCTTTTATAAGCAAATACTGTACTTTTTACTCCCCTACCTTTATTTTAAAACTTTAGCTACTAGTTACTTTTCAGAACCATTAATGCAAAAACAACAGTATATTCATAAGACTTTATTGATCTCTGGTGGAAAGGTCAAAAGATACCCAGCAGTAGGTGAGTTAAAACTTGTTCCTCCTTTACCAGCTGCAACATTAAATGTGATGGACACAATAATGCAGCAGTAATTATAATCCGATAATATGATATATATTAATGTTATATGTGCCATTCTGCATAATGAGTACTTTTACTTTTAGTATTTAAAGTATGTTTTGATGCTAATACTTTTGTACTTAAGTAACATTTTGAATTCAGGATTTTACTTAACAGAGTATTTTTACACTGTGGTATTGCTACTTCTTCCACCACTGACTAGACACATATCACACATATGAGAAGGAAAGGGGTAACATCTGGTAAGTGCCATAAAAATTCTAATTTGCAGTAATGGAAGAATTAAAAGTATTAATGCCACAGTGTAAAAATACTCTGTTACATAAAATCCTGCATTCAAATTGTTACATAAGTAAATGTACAAAAGTGTATCAAAATATATTCAAAGTACCAAAAGTCAACGTGCTCATTATACAGAATGGGGCATTTCACATTAATGTATATCATATTGTCAGATTATAATTATTGATGCATGATTGTGTACATCAGAGTTGCAGCTGGTAAAGGTAGAGCTAATGTTTACATTAGTTTACATACATAATCTGAAGTGCTGCTGGGTATCTTGTTAATTTCCCATCAGAGATCAATAAAGTCTTATGATTATACTAAGCTTAATTTTATTAATTAGATTCTGAAAAGTAACTAGCAACTGACATTATCAAATAAATGTAGTGGAGTAAAAAAATACAGTATCAGGAAATTAAAATACTCAAGTAAACTACAATCTCCAATAGTGAATTAGATATGAAGAGAGGTGATTTTGACTTGGCTGACATGCACATGGTGTTTCAGTATATGATGTTCCCTCACTTTTGTAGAGCCCACAGTGCTGAGGGCTTCTTCCTATCACAAAATGCAGAAGAATTGACAGAATACAACTGTAAAGAGGTATGAGTACTTTTTTCTGTCAAAATGTTACCATGTCAGCGTGTAAAGTTGCAGCATCCTCTTTATTGTCACAGTATATCCATTTCTACTGCATTGCTGTCTGTTGCTTGTTGTCATACATTAAAGCCCCACATCCACCTTTCTGTGCGTGTTCCACTTTACTGAAGCAGATCCATACCACCAGCAGAGATAATTATCCCCTCTTCAGCTGCATCCAGAATTCAGTATAAAAGTAGGGTACCTCAGCACGCAACCTGCTGGTTAATGTTTGAGACATCCTGCCAATCACAGAGATGCATCATTAGGTGTGTCTGTGCTGCTTTCTGGTTCAGGCGCATGTCTTTGAAGTTCCTCTCAGCACAAGAATGGATCCCAGACTGACAAGAGCAGACTGGGCTTAGCTGAAATATTTATTTTAAAACATGAATTTGGATTGTGAGCAGAAATATAGGTTCTCATGGTTTCACTGAAATGTCTGAACATCATGGAAAAAAAAAAAAAACGTATTCGCTACTCAGCAGCTCAAACATATGCCATCATTCACCCGGTTATCTGCCTTGCCTTAGAGTAGTGAGTTATCATTCCTCTCATGTAAACATCTACACAAGAAAAAGTAATGGTACTGTTTCCAATTTCCTGGTTTTCTTTGTAACTTGGTCATGAAATGTGATCTCATCTTCACCAAAGTCACAAATATCAACAAACACAGTATTTCTAAGATGATAAAACACAAACAGTTATGATCTTTCATGTCTTTATTCAAGACATCCATCAAACATATAAAGTGATGGTGGAAAAAGGCTTTTGATGTCACTAAACATCAACTGGAGTCAAGTGTTAGCAAACCTGGAGTCCAGTCAATGAAATGAGAGTGGAGGTGTGGTTTAGAACTATTACTACAACTTCGGTGAAGATCACATTTCATGACCAGTTTTTGCAGAAAACCAGGAAACTGCAAATAGTGTCATTATTTTTTCTGACAACTGTATATTTGAAGAAACTTTACCGAGTTTCTTCGACTGGTCATTGCTCAGACAAGTAACTCGTACTCTTCATTGCTGGCCAGTGAGCTTTGCAGTGGCACAAGTTAAAAAAGCAGGCGAGTGTATCTATATTGAACAGTGGCAGAGCTAATCAGCTGTGAACAGTCGATTCCCCTGTAGCGAACCTGCCATGTTGTAACTGAGCTATTAACTGTCCTAGATGCTGCTGAGGTGGCTGTCAGGACCCCAGAAGCTGTAAAGGAATGTCTCAGCATTTCCCAGAGTGCACTGTGTTTACAGAACGAAATCATTCATTCTATGTGGTTAAACTGCTGTGGTATTCTGTGGTTTTCTTTAACTCTTTTATTACCAAGGTCCTCGATGTTGTAGGAAAAGTAGTCTTAATCAGCCAATACCCAGTTCCTGAAAGCATTTTGGTCCTCTGACACACAGGAAATGATATGTTTTTGGATTTGCGGCAGTAGAAAGTATGCAAACAAGTATGATAAATAGCTTTTATATTACATAACCAATACCGGTATTTTGGCTGGAAGCCTTCATGAGAGTGTTGAGATAAAATGCATAGTCACTTGTATTTGATATCTACACACTTTGCACAGGCTTTGTGCTATTTAAATGTCTGTTTTTGCAGAGAATCGGAGCATCTTCGACTGTTCTTTGTCTTGTTTGCAGCTGTTGTGACCCTTGACTCCAAAGAGCACATTTGTTTAAAAAACACTCTGGGCTTTTATGGGCTTAACATTGCCGTTTACCATCATCCTGAGGAATTTTAGTTTTAGTTTTAACCAATTAAATATATCAATAAAAGTCACAAGTTTTTTGAAGCTCTTTTTAAGACAAGCTGAAACAACAAACCAGCAGCTATTTTAATAATTTGTTACTTGTTTAAAAATGCCAAACATTCTTTAGTTTTTTTTCCGCATTGGTGAAGATTTGTTGCTTTTCCTTGTGTAATGCGTGTTATAAAATTTCTTCTCTCATATTTGAAAGTTGCTGAAGAATTTAAGAAATAAACAAAGTGATAAAACTGTTCTATTTAATACATGCCGGCATGAAGAAGACAAAATTCCCCATAGAGCATCTCTGTGTTCACTGTTGACAGGACAAAACAGGATACAAATTTGAGATTTTAACTATTTTCTGACATTGTTTAAAAATAGACCATAAATTAATTCAAAGATGAATCGGTAGGTTGATTAAAAGTAGAAATATTTATTAGCTGCAGCCCTGTAGTTGGAAGCATACAGTTTGTACGCAAGATATTTTAAATTCACTACAAAGTGTTGCCACTGAGTGGCAGTAACATGTAAGTGGCAACTTCCAACAAACATTTTTTTTGCAAATAAGGAAGAAGCTGTGTCGCCTTCTGGCTAGGACACAGGTGGAGCTGAGTAGATACAGGTTAACAGGTGCAGCCATCACTCTGCCATTACTGTGTCAGAAGGTTTGCCTACCAGCAATAATCAGAGCTAATGGATTGTAATGCAACAGAAATCCCACCTGATGTGTTCTCCTGAACCTGTGACAGACAAACTGATGTGCCACTTGCTGAGGCCTGCAGTTGACAGAGGTAGTAGATGATATTTTCTTATAACTTCTCTCTGTTTAATTTCTCACTGACCCAGCTCAGGTATGCTCCATACAGCAAGGACAGACTCACGATGAAGGAGAAAATTAGTCCATGTCTTTCTGGTTCTGTCCTTAAATGGGAGGCTCATTACTGGTGCTTTTGACTGATCAATGTGGAGAGAGGAAAGTGGCTTTGTTTATAGACCTGGTGGTCTTTTGACATCTGTGGCCCTGTGCAGCTCTGCAGGCAATGGGAGAGAGGGACTGTAAGTGTGTGTTTGTAGGAAGGCTGGGGGGGAGGTTCTTTAACAGATGGCCGAAGGTAGCCTTTGAGAAGCTGTAGATCTACAGCAGCACTGATTATTTATCTATGGCTCTCTGCCTCCTCCTCAGAAACAGTGGGAAACGTTCCTCTCAGCCGGTGCTTGACAGCAATTTTTGCTGCTTGCTGCGTTGTTTCATATTATTTTAATGACAGGGATTCTGATTAAATTTGATGTCTTCATAAACAGTGTTTTCAGTTTTAAAATGTTATCAGTTCTTTCCTTAGTTGAACTGATTATGTCCCTCATATTTTCCTGTATGAGTTAGCCTAGAAAATCAGAATCAGATTTAATTGCCAAGTATGTTGAGGATACAAGGAACTGACAACAGGCGATAGAACTGCGCAAAAAAAAAGGTATGGGAAGGGTGGGAGGAGGAGGAGGAGGAGGAGGGACACTATTCATAAAGATTATATACACATTTTAAGTTATCAAACTGGTGCATGTAGCGGTACTATTTACAATGCTGGAAAATCTTAGCAGAAGGCATCTGGAGGTAGTTTTAGGTAGAAGACGTTTCACCTCTCATCCAAGATGCTTCATCAGTTCTGTGTGACTGGTGGTGAGCAGTCCCTGTGTGCTCTGTTAAACCCCATAGAAGATTGATTGGGGAGTTCGGGTGTTTCTGTTCGTGTATGTAGAAGCAGATTCCACATTCCCTTGACTCTCCGGTTAGCTCCTTCACTTGATCTGCTCTGTGGATCTGGAAACCCAGGAGCATAAAAGCCTTATTTAGGGTCAAGTCATTTAGCCATGCCTTGACAAAGCACAACGCTGCCAATTGTGAGAAGTCAGAATTAGTCCGGTTGATGAGAAGTGGCTTGTCCATTTTGTTGGCTAGAGAGTGGAGGTTCACTAAATGGGTAGCTGGGGTGCCGGCCTGCTTTCCCCTGTGGTGCCTCTTGTAGGGTTCAAGGATCGCTGCTGCATCACTGGCCAAAACATCCACACAACTTACCCTGTCCATGAAAATGTGAGAAAAGGTTTTCAGAGTGAGCTGTCGGATGTTCAAGAGCTTGTCTCTGGTGAAAGTAATCTGAGACGGGCTGTAAGAGCCCTTCAAAAAAGACAAAAACAACAATAACACACCAAGGCGGCTGTGGCGTGGTGCCATCTTGCTATACCCTCTTGAGGATATGTTGATTTCAAACTAAAGATGGAGACTTTGTCGCAAACTCCAACAATAGATTGGAAAATAATACTGGCTGCTCTGCAGGGAGAACTGTTGCTGGAGCCCATAGACCCCTCTGTTGTATTCTCTGTGCCCATCTAATGTGTTCTGTGGGGGTGTAAGGCTTTCCAGTTTTTAAAAAAAGATGTTTTGTTTTCTCTGTTTTATCAGCACTGTGAAGCTGCAGGCAAACCATGACAACACCATCTGTATTAGAAATGCAAGAGAAGCATAGAGATAACTGAGACATATTGGTAAAGAGGATTTACTCTGAAAGATGTGGTCCAAGATAAAGGTAAGATAAAAGTGCAAATCACAACAAAAAAAAGAATATGTTGAATTCTGAGCTCAGCTGTTTTGTGTAATAATATTTTTAGTGATTGGCTCATGATGTAAACTATGACTACGTAGGACTGAATCACTGGCATATTTCATAAATGGATGTGTGTGAATAGATCAGCAACTGAATACACCTTTCAGATGCTCTGTGCAGAATATTTCTAGTCGTTCAGTAAATGCTACTTATAATAAAGTGCACTGTTATTGACAGGTTTTATAAGACCTGTACTGCTCATAAGGTTTTCCGGCCTTTTAAAAAGCCAATTTTCTGTGAAGAGCAACTTGAGTTGAGCAGAAAAAAATAAAAGGCAAAACTAAACTGTTTTTCTGAATGTTACTATTGTCACCTCAGGGATCTGCAATCCCTGAGGCTTCAAAGGCTTAGATGGCCTCCTACTTTATAAGCAGCTGAGCTGGAATGGCGTGAAGCTCTGTGCAGCTGAGAATGATACAATGGGGCTCGGTAGAGTGTGCTCAGATAATGGCGGGGGACTCAGTGGAGGATAGGACATAGAAATGTCCTTCAGAATCAAAGAATCCAGCAGGCTTTTAGCCTCTCCTCCTTTATTGGATCATCATGGTTCTTCATTGCTGCTGAAATTATTTTCTTGGCAGGCAAACAGAGAAAAGCATTTTTTGTTGTTTTGTTGCACATTACAGGATGATGTAGACCAGTACAACATCCCAGTACTCTGTGTGTGCAACTATTTGTTTACTGTGTATAATACATTTAGAAATATAGCCAGCTGATCTTCAGAAAATCCCAGACATGATCAGAACATGGAATTTTTTTTTTTTATCTCTTATATGTTTACAGTTTAGTCACAGTGTGATTTTAACTCCACTAATATTTGATCACATCTTTGAAAAGATTTGATTTAATAACTTTAAAACTAATAGTCATATTAGCATTATTCCACATGTCAGCAGTAGATTTTTACGGTCAAGCAATCATATTATGAAGGTGAAATCATGGGGGTATTGCTTTTAGGTTTAATGACATAATGAAAAAACTGAGTTGACTTGGCAGAGGTTTCAGTTTCATTTCAATTCAATTTTATTTGTATAGCACCAAATCACAACAAAAGTCATCTCAGGACACTTTACAAAGTAAGGTCTAGAGCTTATTATTATTATTAACGAGGAAAAACCCAACAAACCCCCCTTGAGAAAGCACTTGGTGACAGCGGGGAGGAAAAACCCCCTTTAACGGAAGGTGGGTGGCCTTCTGCCTCGATTGTTGTGCTGTCTAGTTAAAACTGTGCTACCAGCCTCCACCCATAAGTGGAAGCTGGCAAACTAGTAACTCCTCATGCTGTTAGTTAATGAAATGTTTCAATGAAGTTGCCCTTTTTATGATGGACATGTGCTGTCGCCCCTCAAACAAACAGGCTTTATGCTCTGTTCAGCCTAAAGCCATAACCAGCAAATCTATACAGCTTACATACAACTTCAGTTCTTAGAATCAGTGCTTGGTGATAGACTTTGTGGGACTCACTGAAGCATCCCATCAACATTATCATGAAGCACAGATTGTTTCTGTGAGCCAGAGGCTAGACAGTCAGGATTTGGTTTTGAGATCAGAGTCTACACAATGGAAAACAGCCATGAAATATCCTACGTAGTTTTATTCAAGGCAGTGCTTTGCTCCTTCTGACTTCTCATGAGCTTGTTGATTTGCAGGCAGAAGTTGTTTTTATGTTTTTAATCAAACTGATTCGACATCCTTCTACTGTTTTCACCAATTAGTAATCATTTCTGATTTCTTGCTACTGTACATTTAGCATGTTTGAACTCCTCCATACGTTTACAGTGTAGCCTATGTGGAAACTGACATAGATAACAAATGGATATTCTCCATTTCCACCTCTGTTTGCAAGAGTCATTTCTCTTTGCCTTCTAGGTGCATTTCCCCATGCACGTATCATTGCTGATGATATTGCCTCTATTTTGTATTCCTCCCAGCATCTCCAATTTAGTTTAATTGAATCAAATTAGATTTATGGGATTTACTCCCCTCTCGATTTCTTATCACTGTACCGTAGAGCTGAGAAATTGCTTCCTTTTTGCTTCCCAAAAGGAGCACGAGAAGACTTGAGACAGCCGACACTTTTATCTTTGTCACAGGTGAATTGATAGATTCACCACTGCTGAGAAACTATTCATATAGAGTGTGTATGGTCCTCTCACACAGATGCAATGGTTAGTCTGAATTAACACACCAGGGAGAATTAACTTGAACCTGGCACCTTGAAAACATTTGATATTTATGCAGGTAAAGCTGATAATTTTGAATTTCATATGTCAGAAGTGAATGACATTCCTATTTTTATTAATGTTTTGAGCAGTTTCTTCTTCAGATTTGTCAGTAAAATTGTTTCTGTGGCTCTGCCCTTTGAGATGTACCTCAAAGTAAATCTAATTTGTGCTTCAAGAGTAGTTGTCTATATAAATGTTTACATTGCTAAAACTGCAATCCGCCATCTGTCAAGTGAGGGAAAAAAAAATACACAGCTGAAAATGTGTACATGTGCATCCTAGTGACTCAGCTGTCACTGTGTGCCTAAATCAGCCTGGAGCTTTTGTCTCACTGTGGCATCACTACCTGCATAAAGCCAAATGTGTGTGTGTGTGTGTGTGTGTGTGTGTGTGTGTGTGTGTGTGTTATCTGGTATGTGTGGCTTTCCTGGACAGCTGTGTTAAAATGTAATGTTATGGCACTGCTAGTTTCTGATGTTTTGTAAAATGATTGTGATGTCCTAATGACCCATGTCAGGGCAGCCAGTCCTGTGTAGAGGACATGCTGCCACCATAAACACACTGTAATCTCATTCAGAGCTTATTACTTGATAGACTTGCCTTCATGATATTGGTCTGCTCTTTGTCACCTGCTCTGGTTTTAACTGAAGCCAACCATGTTTGACAAGACACCGGGGTGGAAGCAATGTGTGCACCAAAATCTTGCTGTGCAGCACTGATGAAATCCACTCTCTGCTCTATTGATCTGGTCTGTGGTTTGATTGATGCTGTCTTTAAAAATTCATTAGTTTGAGGCACAGGGTAGCTGCAGGGCAGCAGGCACTCCTGTAGGGCCTATTTATCTGTGTTTACAGAACCAGGAGCGTTCAGTCAGCAGCAAGAATAGAGGGCTGACAGGGCCACCCCGGGCCCATTGAGTCACACTGTCACTCTGTACCGCACACACACACACACACACACACACACACCCACCCACCCCACACTGCCACAAGGTGAGAAGAGAAGCTAATATTTTGCATGTTCTCATGCACCTACACGTCTATCTATAGATATTATTGATTGCCTGGTCTGAAACACCTCATCCTTTTCTATGTGCTTATTGCAGGCTGCCTCTGTAACAAGGCCTCTTGTTGCTCATCACCACCACTAAACATGCATACACTTGATTTAGAGGCTGTGGTTGTTCAGTCATCTCCCTGAGTCCTGTGCCATATATCAGCTGTGGGAGGATTTTTGTGGTATCTTATTTATAGTGTATTGCAGCCAATATGTCAGTTGATCAGGATAAAAATGGTGAAAATCATTATTAATTCCAGCCATGCACCATGAAAGACAAAAATTTATTGTTTAGCCTAACTTTGTTACAACAAAACTTTTCTAATTAGTTCTGTGATGTGACAAGCACTGCCACTGGCTACAAAGCTGAATCCCTTTCTTCGGCCTACAGTACATATTCTTAAATGCATTCATGAGGCATCACATTAATGCAGCCAGGAAGCAACACAAACACTGGTGTGTGCTGCCACAGCATGTTTATGCCCTGCTTTTGCCTCACTTAGTACTGTTTCCCTACCTTCTGCCTTTACTTACAAATTGATAAACATTTTGGTTGTACTCAGTTACCGCTCCTACTTTTCTACACAAAAAGACCACTGAGGTCTGCTTGATCTTAAAAATTAAAAGGACGTGCAGCTCACTGGTATCATGTCATGGCAGGTGACACTCAGACAACTGTTATGAGAGCTGTTATGACATTTCAGTTAGCCTTATATTGAGCTAAACTGCTGATCTGCTAATGTAAAATCTACAAAGCAATTGTTTTATTTAAACTGTGATCTGTCTGTTCCATTTTATAATGTAAAGTTGAACAGATTGATATAGTCTTAACTGTTAACTGGTTAGTTTTAGAGTGGTAATTTTATTGGTTTTTTTTTGGTAATTGTTAAATGAACCCACCATTTATTTTCAAGTTTTGTACACATTCATGAATTGATTAATTATATCATTTGCAAGCTTCGCTACAGCAGGTTGCAAACTAGCATGAGTACTGTAGGATTTGTCTGGTGTGTTTTGATGCATCCAATGGGAAGCATCAGACTTAACCATGAAGAGAACTGACAAAATGGCTTAAACCTACCAGGGCCATGCAGAGACCTTTAGGGAGGCGGGTACTCAGAGTTAAAAAGGAGCACATTTATTTTAAAACACTATACACCAACAGAATTTACAGCATAACCTGCTGAATTACAGAAACCCATCTTCAAACAGAATATATAATGGATATTAACATTTGCACCTAATTAATAATAAACCCACCCCAAATAGTGATTGGAAATGTTAAAGAACTAATACATTGCAATATAGTGTTTATTACTGTTACTGTCTATAAAAAACCTTTGCAATGTAAACAACTGACGTGTTATTCTAACTTTGTGTGCTCTTTCTAACCCAGCTGGTCAGAAATTCACTGCCTTTAGCAGCCTGAGGCAGCTCCTGTTCTTTTCTTTTCTTTTGTTATTTCCTCTTTACGAGGCATCTTTGCACTGCAGAATGAAATCTAATGATTAATAAAAGGAATTGTGAAAGCCTTCACAAAAAACAACAGAAGATACACAGTTAAAACTGCAAATGGCAATGTGAACTGCTAATGACTTCATATAGCTTAGATACACTGTAGCTTTGAACCGTGATGGAAGACAGTAACTAACCCCTAATCCACACTGAACCCGTCTCATGCACATTCATACTTTATACCAAATGTGTCAATCCACAATGAATCCCAGACGTGCTTAAGATGTGCATCTCCCCTTGAACCCTAGGGCTATTTATACTTAGGGTCATTTTTTACTCTTCTGCATTTAATGAAGCATAATCTCCACAGACAGCTGTTTAAGTCACACCAATCCCCAGTTATTTCTTTGTTGCAAACTTTCTGCTGGCATCTATTATTCAGGCTCCCAATGCAAATATGACCTTTTTAGTTTCACTTTCACCCAGGAAAATCAATAGAATCAATAAATTAATAGACTACACAAAAATGCTGTTTTTTACTGATGAGCTGGCATGAAAGCAATTTTTGTTCAGTATATTTGTGCTGTCTATCTGCCTGGTAAAGACTTTTGGTCTGGCCGCTGTCCTTCTGACAGACAGACCGCTATTCTGATGACAAAGACATAGAACATGCTGCTCACGTCTATCCTTCATTGTGGATTCCCAGTAAGACATACAGAAAAAGATGACCATCAAACCTGTTTCCCTAGCAGCACAGCTGTGTTGTTAGTTAGCGGATAAAAGCTGCTTGGCTAAATAAATACAAATGTGCTTGCTCATTTCGTCTTATAAAATACACTAAACAATGTGCACATAATATTGCTGCAAACTACATTTACTGGCAGCTGAAATTCCTCCTCATTATTTCTCAGAAACATAATTGGAGAAGTCTCCCACTGTGGGCAACAACCTTTAACCAGCCAGGGCAGGTCACGGGTGACCTGACCTCAGGTTAAAGGTCATTAAGTCACCTAACTGATTGACGGCAGCCAAGTCATCTTATTTATACCTAAATTATTTTTAAATGTTAAATGAACAGAAGACAAACAAAAAAACATAAAATAGACCTTTTATGGGCACTTTGGAAACTTGTATTGAAATTATAAGAACCTAAATTATAAACCTTCAAATTGATTAGATTATATTTAAATATTTGGTTCTTGAGTTTTAAAGTGGTAATTTAATGTATAGAATTTTTTTTTTTTTTTGAAGAAACAAAAATGAGCCACTACAGGGGATTCACCCAAATGAATGTATCGCAGTCTGTGTGGGAGAAAGAATGGCTGGCAAATGAAGGGTTAATCAGCTGAAGAACATCACATGCTGTGAAAAATACTCTGACTTGATCAACAGGACCATTAAGACATGCCAATTAAAGCTGCCTGTTAATTATAGATGTGTTTTTCAGTTAGTGTTGACTGGTGGCAGGTCCAGTCAGTAATTATTGGTGAACAATAGGTCAAGACGAGAGGGTAAATGATGAAGAGCTTTAATAGCTGTGAGGAAGAAAGAAATTAATTCCAACGGAGAGAATAAAGAGAAGTAAAACAGAGGGAAGTAAAATTAGAAGAAACGACTTTTACCAGCCTAATCATTCTGCTGCTGTATTTGTCTCTGTAGCGAGTATCACATTGAAACCCTACACCCACACAGCTACTGCCACAGACAAATGCCCACAACAGCTCTCACTTGCACATGAAAGCAGAGACAGAGCAGAAGGCGATCCCCGCAGTCTGTGCTCACAGCTCCCCCGCAATGGATTCTGGGTCAGGTTGTATTCACCAGCAGAGCAGAGGGAAAGCCTCGGCTGCCAGGACATAAAACGCCACAGAGCTGCCGGCTTTTTGAAGCAGGGAAATGAGAATTTGCCTCTGCCTGAGCTCGCATCACCCCTGCTCTTGGCTCACTCCCACGTTGGGGTGGGGGGGAGTTCAGACACACCATTCCACTCTGGCTTTGCCAGCACAGACCAGAGCCCACGCTTTGTTCTCCCTTTGTGTTCCACTATATGAGTCATTTTTTATGTAGAGCTGTACCACAGAGGATGTGTAGTTATTTATTTGTGTGTTGCGCTACATGATATACTGTACAGAACTATGTTGTAGCACACAAGCTAACATCAAAACAATACAATATTTTCATCCTCGTGACTTAGTTGAATAAAATATCACCTTCAACTTGTTTTACAAGAGGCTTGTGTGAGATCATCGGATGGTAACAACTTCTCTCTGTTGCTGATAGGAGGGTGCATATCATACTCGATGACACGGAAGCATTTCCATCATTGATCTCTGTTCTCTCATCCTGTGGTTCTGTGTTCTCCCTATAGATACTCTTTCTATGCATAAAAAAAAACTCATGTAGATGAGAAAGGAGGTGTCATCTTACTTGTGCTTTTGTTCACTGATTCCCTGAGAAACTTGGGCACAGGGGTGATTAGCTCACAGCTTCAGAGGCCATTCAGTAGATCAAATTGACTGTCGGCAGCTTTTCAGCCAATTCAACATGTTGAATCAGCGTCTGCCCGTTGGGCCTTGTCGGTGAGAGAGAGAGCACTCTGATTGGCTGTTGAGCTTAACAAATCACTGCATGATAAGAGAACCTTTCAGGAAATCCCCTTCAGCCTGTCACTGTAGCATCCATGATTTCACCCATTTAGTGTGGTCTCTCCTTATTTTTTTCATCCACAACCTTCTTTCTTCTTCCACAACCAAAACGCCATGGGCGTAGAACATCAGTGCTGTTTGCAACTTATCAGGCATATTTTCTGTTAAAGCAGCTATAAACAGCAGCTGTTTTGAATGAGAAGTGTTTTAGTGTTCATAACTTATACTTCTGCAAGCTAGCTCCCCTTCTTTCCCTTTCTGAATGCCGAACACAGATACCACCACCTTCTGGTAGGGGGAGTTATTTCTGTCATGCAGGCTCAGAACCTACAGTTGCTTTTTGTTACGTGGTTATGTTTGTCTCCATCTGATGGATAGGAATCTGATTTTCAACTGTGTTTGGTCTCTGCCACCTCTTAATTCTCCACTATGTGCACCAGCTACTCACGTTCTGTGTGTGTCTGCTGTTTGACACTGAGCAGATAGTGTACGGTGGGTTTTATTCATTCATTTTACTGAAAAACTGCTGCCTGAACCAAATCAGTGTAGTGAAACTGACCATGACTCTGTAAATCCAAGGGGAGCTGCAGAATAATGTGATAATTCTCTGTAATTCATCACAAATAGCCCCATTCACATTGACATAGTTAATAGAAGCTCATTATAGACATTTTTCTTGCTTTAACTCATCACTTCGGTAACTGTTGCATACATCAGCTAGAATATCTGTGTATTCTTATGCAGCTTGAATATCTGTGTATTCTTATGTGTTTCTGTGCATGTTATTGTCTGTGTAGTGAAGATTGTTTTTGATGTGGTTTCACATTTGAAGTTGCGCCCATCAAGCCTCAGAGCGTGGCTCAGATAGAGGTGTTGATGAGAGAGGACGAAGATGGGTGGGCTGCTGGAGAGATGTGCATGGATAAATCACATCTATCCTCGAGACGTGGGCCTGATACCAGAACTGAAGCATGACCAAGTGGTGAGGAAGAAGGGCTGATCAAAAGACAAGAGTAGAGAGGTAGAAATTTTAAACTCAACTTTGAGCTCCTCCTCATCCTCTTCTTCTCTCCACCTCTTTGTGGTCGTTGTCTCTTTACAGACAAGTAACTGTAGCTACTGTACCTTTAAGGTGTATGCATGAGACTGAGCTGAACAGATAGAAGATTACATAAAAGCTTTCCCAATGCTGACTGTTATTCCAGATATTATGAGTAATGGGAAACATACAAATAACTTGGGGATGTTGGGAGTAATTTATTTTAGCATTTTAAACATGAAATTAGCTACTCAAATGTAAACATGGCATGAACATGACTCAGACTACAGTAATTTGTGCATTATGCACCTCATAAAGACATTCACAGCAGCAATATGACACATCCTGGTTCAATCTAACACCTCTTTAATGACACTGACCCATGGCTCCGCAAGGAAACCATTTAATAATATCTCTGAAGATGCCACCAGGGGTTCAGGTAAGGTGTCTTAGGATATCATAGTTCTCCATTTCCTTTGTTGTGGTTCTGGATGTGGCAGTGGCTGGTATTAAAGCCATGTCTTAATTACCATGCTGCAGGGCTCCCTGGGCCAGAACGCCTAAATTACCCAAATTACTCCCCTGTGGTGTCACATTAATTGTGAAGCAAACACTTGTCACTATAAAAGATGATTAAAAAATAATCTTTTTGAAAGATAAAGAGAGTGGGAGGGAGAGTATGGATCTAAGAGATGGCACTGCGCCCAAGGCTTTTACAGACCCATGAAAGTTAAATGTGCCTGAACACTCTAATGGCGCCGCCTTGCATCGAATTTCTAATCAGGCTGCTGACAAAGAGTCTGGGGCTGTTTGTGCTAACAGGTGAGCCTCTGTGCTTTCTGCTTTATTTTATTTCATTTATAAATTTCAAACAGGGACAATGCATGTCAATCAACACCAATATAAATATGCCAGTTGTCCATGTGGATAATGTTTGCCAGATGTTAAATTACCAATTAAAATAACAAAGAGAGGCATTTTGTAAAAACCTGCCCAGATTGGGACAGGGTCAGAAGAACTCCAACGATGGCGGAACATTATTTTATAGGTGTATTAGAGCAACACATACCAACTAAAAACCAGCTTTCCCACCTGTATATGTCAGATGAGTTGGCTAAAGATACTTTGTATATAAAAGGAAAATGGGAACTGGAGATAAATATATGTACTGAAGACGAGATGTGGGAAGATGTGATGCTGGTAGCCATGAAGGAATCGGTCGTCAATTCTGGAAAGAATTTGAAAATGAGATATTTTATGACACCAACAACTGTTTGATAGAGATAATACAACAGCTGGAGAAAGTGTGGAATGAAATGGGACCAATCTCATATCTTTTGGGACTACCTGGTATCACAGGCATATTGGCAAATTATAAAACAAGTAGTAAAAAAAAGTATTAACATTGATATTGTTCTAGAACCAGTATATTTTATACTTGATGGACTGCATGAAGAACTGACCAACAAAGACCAAAACTATATTTTATATATTCTTTTAGAGGAAGCTGGGAAAATTATAATTACAAACTGGATGAAAACAACATCACTAAACATAACTCAGTGGACTAAAAGCCTACAACAAGTATACATAGTGGGATGTGTGACTGCCCACCTACAAATGAAGACGGCCATTTTCTTACAAAGATGGACTCCTGCAAAGATATACTTGAGACTCTGATTTTCCTATAAATACCTGTCAACTCTGCTCAATGTTAACAAATCTTTGAAAGATAGTTTAAAAAAGAAAAGCAAAACAGCAATTAGGACTACATTTAATGAGTATTTTCCCAAATAATAGATCCATCTTTTGGTTTATTGTCTAGCCAAAAAGCAGAACATTGAGCCACAGAGGCACCAAAGATGTTCACTGTAAGATGGAGTGTGTGGTATCCTCCATGGTGACTGTGTAGTGCTGTTGTTTGTGCTGCGCGCTCAGCCGTGATAATTAAAAGACTCCCTCCCCACGTCCCCCAGAGTACTCACTGTTTGCTACACAACTGAAAGAAGAACTGTTTCTCAGCATTACCTAACAGCCAGAGCCAGACATGGAGGGGATCAACACTGTAAGATCCTGGTGCAAATCATTAACATCAACTTTAATTAAAAATGTAATTGTTATGATTGTAATACACCGTACTGCATGGGTGTGTTTGGTAATTTCGACTCACAACTGCTAGTTATTATCCTCACAATTTATAAACATGAATTGGAGACTCATGACTCAAACGTTGCTCAGTTTCCTTCTTGCAGAACCATTTCTTCACTGGCGCAGTTCCCCTGGGGATGCACTCATCTACCTCATTTTCTCTGAGGGAGAAATCCAGACGTTTACCGTCATGCAGCTTAAACTCATCAGATGTCATTTTGATGTACACACGTTCTCATGTCAATTATCAGACCCCTGACAGCACTGAGCACATGTTGGCGACAGGAAAGTAAGATGTTTACACACAGAAACAATGTGTGCGGTATACTGCAGGTACAAACCCACACCTTGTTGTGATATTAATCCATTTATTTGCCTACCAAAATCTCCAATGGTCTTCAAACATAGTTGTAATAGACTTTATTTTTCAGGGCTATTTAAAACATTTGACAATGGAAAAGCTTCATAAGCAATACATTTCATATAGTGCAACGAGAAACCTCTTTTCAAATTTTGACAAAACTTGTATTTCATGGTTCACTTATGAGCTTTTCCTGGAGTAAATGGACTTTGCTCAGTTGCACAGGTGCAAGCAATTGGCCCCACTGCATTGCTACCTATGCTGCGTTCAAGCACTTTGTCCGGGAGGACCTTTGTGGTTTTTTTTTTTTTTTTTTTTCTCCCTTCACCCTCCAGAGGTCTCGGCTCATCTTTCGCCTGGGTTGTTTTTGTCCCACAACTGGTCTGTTAACCTGCTTTACCTCAATGTACAGTAAGCCTCCTCAGCTCCTCACTCCCTGGTCCTCCACTTGCCTCCCGTCAGCTCTACGCTACCTGCCTACCTCTTCCCTCTGCTGAGCTCCCAGCCTCTTGCTCCACTCCTACGCCCTGCAGCCAGCTCTCCCTACTTTCCTGCTTTGCTCTGTAAATCCTCATTAACGTTTTGTTTGGACCGGCTGTTTTGTGTCCTGCCATTGGGATCCTCCCTGTCTCATAAGCCATCCGGCTTAACAGAACAAACTGGCCAACAAGGACCCCACAGACGATGGCGCTACATCCCTTCAGTCTGCCCTCTTCCTCCAGGGGTTCAGGATCAGCAAAACAAAAGTCTTCTTCCCATGGGCGTCCATGTTCCAACCATTCCCCCTATGGGATTGGTAAACACAACGCCTTTTCCGAATGGTGTCACTGTTGGGTGTGACAAAATTTGAACCAGATCCAACGTTTTTGCAGCACAAAGTTGTGTTGTTTTGCTGGAGCCCCTTGCAGTGCTGGTGCTGACTGCAGTGAACGCAATCCCCCAAAGAAATGAATGACAAGGGCCACGCTTTTGCACATCTTTGAAACTGAACGTGGCCTTAAACATACATAAACAGTTTACCAATTACACAAGGTTTCTGTGGATTATGTATTCTTTCAGAGTATCATGGCTTGGAGAAGCAAATGCACATATTGATGCATACAAACTGATTTTTTTTTTCTTAATGACTTTTCTAGTTTATTCTTCCACTATGATTCAGCCCAGAGAAAAATCAATATAGACCAGCAGCCTTCCTCCATTCACATTACTGCAGCATATCTTCACAAAATACATCCACATGTACTTAATAGACACATAATGTAGCATTTATTCCCACAGTGGTTTCAGCTATTCATGGTGACTCATGCTGACTGCAGTAATGAATGAGGTGCCACATAAACAGGAAGAGAAAAGTGTGAAGACCTCTTAGCCTTCTTGTTTGGTCGGGCTCATTTTCGCCTTCGCAGCCTGCGCACCGCTGATTTTTCAGCTGTCCAACCTAATGGTTTCATTGGTGGCTTTCATAAGCTGTGACATAAGCTGTGACACACACCTGAAGATACAGACTAGCAGTCATATTACATGTCAGGACAGGGGAATCGGTTTAAGCACATACCACTGTGCTGTATGATCTGCATCATTTCTGTCCATTTCCGTGCTGTATATGTCCTTGGTCAGCTGATCTGTGATGTGTCTCAGTTACACTTTGCATCAGCACCAGCTTATTGGCTGCTTATCTGACTGTAACATGGATGAGAGGAAGCCTACAGGAAAGCAGTGGCTTTTACCATTTTGAGTTTTGGATGAGAGCCTTCATGACAGGGTCGGTGTGTTTTATGTGTTACTGCCCATAGGTGGGGAGTGTTAGAGAGGCAATAAAAGACGGATCAAAACTGCTTTGCCCCACAGAGGGCTGAGCAATCTGATTTTGCTGCACAGTTTTCCTGGAAGGTCTTTTTCTTCACTGACGCATCCAGGCAAGAGGCCTGAGACTCAGGTGCATAGTGTCCAGTGAGGCATAGAGCAGCTCTGCTCTGTGAGTCGGAATTCACTATTTCTGTGTTCAGCACATATGTTTGTACATGTGTACTTCTGAGCCATATTTCCATTGGCTTATTTTCTGCTGCAGACGGGACCTGCACCATTTACTGTCCGTCTGTTATTTTTGTACTGCAGTGTAAAGCTCATACTGTCCATGTTCACTTGGGATCGACATAGTTAATTTGTGAATGAGCTGTCCCAGTGAGGAACACGTTTCCCAGAGGACTTGTGCTCTGACAGTGGGAATCTTTTGCAAGCTGAGTCCATGGACTCATGGGGTGTACATGTATAAAGGTTTTTTTAAAGTGTCCCAAGGGCCCCTCACATGAGGTGTCAACAATAAATCACTCAGTGGTTTCCCAGTATGTCTGCGAAAGGTAGAATTAATCAAATCAAGTCAAATGGGGTAGTTCACCCAAATCGTAAAATCCAAAAACAGAAACATATTTTCTCTATTACTTGCATTGACATCTACTGTAGCAAAAGA